CTGCATAGTGAGACCCTGTCTCAAAAAGACAAAAACAACAACAAAAAAAGTAAAGTGATAGAATTCAGTATTAAATAATGAAGTTCCCTTGTAACCTTGATAGTTAGATTTATCTTATTTCAGGCCCGTGTACAGAGTGCTAAATTAGCCTGGCCCTGATCCAACACAGCTGAATCCCCAGAACAACAGGTTATCTTCCCAGGGACCACTTCCTCCTCCTTCCCCACTCCAGCCCTGGATACAACTTCCTTTGACCTTTCCTGCGAACTCAAGGGAACCTCCAATCAGCACCTCCATCCTCTCCATGTGCTTAGAGTTAGAGTTAATAAAGGCTTCCCCTGTCCCTAGTTCTGCTTCTCTGTTGTGCTGCCGTGGCTGCTACCATCACTGCTGCCTGCAAAACCTATCAATACGCTCTTTTTTTTTTTTTTTTTTGGTGGAACCAGGGTTTGAACTCAGGCCCTTGAGCTTGCCGCTTGTCAGGGAAGTGCTTATTCCACTGAGCCATCACCCTGACCCCTCAATACACTCTTTTTTTTTTTTTTAATTTTTATTTATGTGTGTGTGTGTGGCCAGCTCAGCCCATCCCGGGGTGGGGCGGGCTGGCATTTGGTTCTGGGGGATTGAACCGCGGTCCCTGTGCTTTGCTAAGCTTGTTCTAAGTAGGTGCTTTAGACCACTGAGCCATCTCACCAGCCCCCTTTTTGTCTTTTTGAGACAAGGTCTCACTATGCAGTTCAGTCTGGCCTTGAGCTCACTTTGTAGCCCGGCTGATCTTGAACTCGCAATGATCCTCTTGCCTCCCGAGTGCCAGCACTACAGACAAGCGCCACCGCGCCCGGCTTGCATTCAATCTCACGAGTAGCACGACCTGAGCCCTACACAGCTTGAGCCCGAACCACAATCAGCCAAACCGCGGTCACATCCCCTCAATACACTCTTGCATATGCCTTCTGCTGCCTATTTTCCTCGACAGACAACGTAGAACTGTTAATTAGTTGATGGCTGATTGTCCCTTGTAAAACTTTGTTGGTGTTCTTCCCGTCTTAACCATCTTTGGCCCTGTGGTGAGAATTTTGCTATAAGATATCTCAGTTTCCTGTTCCCCTCCTACTGAAGATTAAACCCTAGTTCTTTACGTTGAATTACATCTCCAGTCATTTTTATGTTTTTAGACAATGTCATACTAAACTGTTAAGTTGCCCAGGCTGAGCTGGAACATGTGGTCCTCCTACCTCAGGTGGGACTGCAGGACTTGCAACAGTGCACAGGCAGTTTCTGGGCTAAAGAAGCACTCAAGTGTTACCCCTTTCAGTGTGGGGTTTCCATGGACTTCTTTTGTAGAATAAACAAAGCTAAAAAGCCATTCTTTCTCGAAGCCTTTGGGCTAAACCTAGTGTGCTTCATACAATCACTATTAGAATATGGCTTAGAACCAACTTGGCTTCCAGTCTGCATTAACCCCTCCAAACTGCATTTCAAATTTAAAGCCATCTGTTATGGGTTGTGTCTAGGTGTCCCCCCCCCCCCAAAGCCTCAGGCAGTCATGGGCGCTTCTGGAGTTTGTGATTATTGTGGGCGTGGATGCTTCACAGGTAATTTGCGTTATAATGTAAGGTGGGGAAAGAAGCTAGCTGCTGGAGCTGCTGCTACCCCTCCCTTGCGCTCTTGCTCTTTGCCGCTGCCATGAAAGGTTTTTCTCTGCCTTGGAGCCAGCTGAATATGGACTGAAACCTCCAGTAACTGTGAGTTAAACCTTTCCTTCCTTCATTTTGGGTGTCAGGTATTTGTCCCAGCAACGAGAGAAGAGTAACTAAGTCGCCATCCTGTCTGGCTTACTGTGCCGTATAACACGGTAGCGTGTATTGCACCTACAATTCGCAGAGCCTGAAAGCTTAAGCTCCCCCTTTTCTGCTCAGAGTCGTCTCCTGCGGATAGAAAGTCTGATTGCCGAGCACCGCGGCAGCCGGGCTCAGGCTTCCCAAGCAGTCTGCGCACCCGGGCAGACGCCGGGCGCGGTGGCGCGCGCCTGTAGTCCCAGCTACTCGGGAGGCTGAGGTGGGAGGATCGCTTGAGTCCAGGAGTTCTGGGCTGCAGTGCGCTATGCCGATCGGGTGTCCGCACTAAGTTCGGCATCAATATGGTGACCTCCCGGGAGCGGGGGACCACCAGGTTGCCTAAGGAGGGGTGAACCGGCCCAGGTCGGAAACGGAGCAGGTCAAAACTCCCGTGCTGATCAGTAGTGGGATCGCGCCTGTGAATAGCCACTGTACTCCAGCCTGGGCAATATAGTGAGACCCCTTCTCTTTTGCTTTCCCCTCCTCGCTGCCTTCAAACCTAATGACCCCCCCCCCATCTTCCTCCTCCACGCCTCTACCCTAAACACACACCGCTCAACCACACTCTCCACAATTCTACAATGGGAAGTCTTGTCCCTCTTTTATTTGGGTCTTCACCGTGACTTACACAAACTATTGCATAGTCACGATGCCAAGCAGGTGTGGGCCCCCGCCACGTCCCGGATACCCAGAGGAGCGCGGAGCGTCGCGGACCTGCGCACCTACTCGCGTGAGAATCCCACGGTCCGCGGGGGACAGCAGGACCCCTCGACATAGGCAGTGCTTTTTCAGGGCTCCTACATCCTGGAAGGCAATTCTAGGACGCAGGAAACGGTTGTACTTCGTTAATTTCAAAACTTCTAGATGTCCGAGAAATGCTGTGGAAGGAGATTTCCCTTTCTACGCTGAGCCCTCCCGCCCATCTGGGTAAATTCTGTGATTTCATCAAAAGATTATTAGGACCGGCAGGGGTCACTATGGAGGCTAGTTTGAATCTCCAAACATGGAGGAGTAAGGCAGCTGGATTCGTTTGTAAGTGCTTAGGGATAGTGCGCAGATTCAAGAAATGTTTGGGCCGGTTTCAGATCATTTTGTTAGAACAAACTGATCTGAGAATAAATTGTTAAGTTCCTCGGCCGACGCCACGAGTACGGTCGCTTCAAGGAATATTGAGCCCTCCCGGAGGCCGTAGATGAGCTAGTGCGCCTGCGCGGAAGAGCGGCGGCGTCGAGTTCCGCGGGTGGTGGATCCAGCTGCGGCGGCAGCGCTCAGACCTTACCATGAAGACGCGCTTTAGCACCGTTGATCTCCGCGCCGTACTTGCGGAGCTCAATACGAGGTACGGCCCCGCGCGGGTACGGTCTCTCGCGGGCGGTGCGGCAGGCGGAACCCACGGCTTCACGGTGAAAGCCATCCCGGCTCGCTGTCCGTCCGCGGACCTGGCTAGGCCGGCTTGGGCGCGCGCGGCGTCTTCGCCGCTGCCCTCGGGGGGTCCGGGGTCCCGGGACTGCGTGCCCCGCCCCGCTGCCGCCAGCTCGTGGCCCGCTGTCGCAGCTCCGGTCACTTCTCGGCCTGAGGCGCTTGGGTCCGGCAGCAAACGCTTGGGGAGACAGCAGCCGGCAGAGCCGTCGTCTGCCCGTCGCGGCCAGCCCGGAGGCCCGGCGTCCCCGCCGGTGCGCCCTCGCCCCGCAGGGGGAGAGCTTTGCTGTTTCCAGCTGGTGTGTGTTTGGGCTGAGACGTCAGGTTGGCCCTCAGAGATCCGAGCTAACACCTGGGCTCTCGTTTATCATCTTTTGCCTTGTAATGAAGTAACTTAAGTAGATAGTAGTTTCTTTAAAAAACAAAACAAAACAAAAAAAAAACAACCCTTGAGTTACTTCAAAAACACCAGGGGCCTGTGCGGTGTTCCTGGAGCAAAAGCGGACAAACCAATTTGGTTCTTAAATGGTTCCACTTAATCTGGGGGCAGAATGTCTAATGGACTCTGTCCTCGGAGCCGAGCGTTTCAGGCTTCACAAAGCTTGTGTGCGAAGTTTTATGTTTCAAACTAATTTGCTTCGTGTTGCCTTTGTTTTTGCAGCTTGCTAGGAATGAGAGTAAACAATGTTTATGATGTGGATAATAAGACGTACCTTATCCGTCTGCAAAAGTAAGAACAATTTGTAGGTTGGTCTCTGGTACTTCTAAGTCTGGAATAGCTGATTCTTTAAAACTGACATGTTAGGTCGTTTTCAGAGACTTGGCAAATGCACTAAAGAAAAACTTGACTTTCTTCATGTACAGACCAGACGTTAAAGCTACCCTTTTGCTTGAATCTGGCATACGAATTCACACAACAGAATTTGAATGGCCAAAGAATATGATGCCGTCAAGTTTTGCCATGAAGGTAAATTCTGAATTATCTATGAAGCTAAATAGTGAGGCCTTGAGGTAGATCGTTAACAATTGAATGAACTGTAAACTGTTTGGCTTTCCTCTTTATGAATAAAGTACACATAAAATAAAGGTACAGACAGTAGTTGCTTGATCATAGGATGAACAAAGTAGGTAGTTACTGACTTTTGTCTATTTTCTTTCACATCTTGTGCACCAAGTCTTCTTTCTGAGCTATATTCCTAGTCCTTTTTATTTTTAATTTTGGGATAGGGTCTCAAGTCACTAAGATGACCAGGCTGGGCTGGAACTTTTGGAAGATGTCTGCTATAGCTTTGTGGCACTGAGCCAGTAATAGAGAAATAAAACAAGTTTTTTTGTTTGTTTAGTAAGACAGATTTTGGGCTGGGGAGATAGCTCAGTAGAATAAGTGCTTGCCTGGCAAGCGCAGGGTCCTGAGTTCAATCCCCAGAACTAAAAAAAAAAAAAAAAAAAAAGACAAATTTTACATCCACCTATACTTAACATGATGTAGAAACCCTTACCTTCACGTGGTGTGGCACTCTGTTCTTTCAAGGATGCCTTTTATCTTCATTTAAACCTTTTTAAAAAACAAAACAAAAAAAAAATAAATAAAAGTATTCCTGGTAAACTCAGAAATTGATTGTAATTTTCCTCTAGGAGATTTAAAGACAGCCTTACGGTTTAGGGTACTGTCCAGTGATATAACCCTTGCTTGGTAGGCAAAACAAATATCTATATGTAGATCTCTTTAAATCAAAGTCATGGGCTGGGGAACACAGCTCACAGTAGCACAGTTGCTTAGAATGTCTGAGGCCATGGATCAATCCCCAGCACCACAAAACAAAACACTCTGAGCCAGGGATAGTGGTACAAGCCTATAATCCCAGCATTCTGGGAGACTGGCAGGAGAGTCACAAGCCTGTGTAATGTAGTAAGACCATCTCAGAAAGTAACTAAGTGTAAGCTGCTTTTAAAACTATTGAGAAGAAGGTTTATTCTAGATAGTTTAGAAAGTCTTACAACTCTAAGTATGTCTGTATATAAAATGCGAATGTTAATTTGAACTATGAAGTCTGGAAAGATTTTCCTAGTTTTTAAAATTTCTTTTAGATTTTTCTAGTTTAAAAACGGTTGGAGTGATTTTTTTTTTTTTTTTCCTGCCTTTTGGGCATAAAATCTAGGGCCTTGTACATGCTAAACTACATTTCCCTCCTGTCCAGGGTTCACATTAATTTAAAAAATAAATTTGTATGCTACTTACATAAAAAATTTTGGGCTGGGGAGATAGCTCAGTGTAATGGTCCTGAGTTCAATCCCTGGTACCGCAAAAGAAAACAAACAAACAAAAAAAAACCCTAAAGCATTTATTTATTTGTTCTGGGAATCAAACTCAGGACCTTGTGCTTGCCAAGCAAGGCATTGTGCCGCTGAGTTATATCCCTGGCACCTGAAAGGTTTTGGATTAGGTTCTCTTTAACATTTTGCCTTGAATTTGAGTTTTAAAGCTTTGTTTCTGGTCTTGACTAAGGGGTTGTTTTATCCTTTTTTTTTTTTTTTTTTTTTGCGGAACTAGGGTTTGAATTCAGGCCTTAGCGCTTGCCAGGCAAGGGCTTATTCTACTGAGCTATCTCCCTGGCACCTGTTTTTGTTTTTGAGTCAAGGTCTTGTTATATATTCTAGGCTGTCATTAAACTCAATGTGTAGTCTGGGCTGACCTTGAATTTACAGTAGTCCTCCTGCCTCAGCCTGCTAAGTACTAAGATTACAGGCATGCATCACCACACCTGGCTTTCTTTCATTTTTTAAAAAAATGAAATGTAAAATACTGTTTCTATTTTATTTTATTTTTATTTATTTTTTTATGTAAATTTATTTTTTTTTTTTTTTTTTCTTTTCAAAGTTTTATTGATAAACATATAGCAATGAGACAGTTTCAAATCAAATCGAAAGTACAGTTTCGACAAATAATACACTGCATATATTCTTCTTAGTGGTTCTGTTTCTATTTTAGTAGTTATCTAGAATAAAATCTTTTTCCTGTGATTGGGCTAGCTTTTATTTTATGACTATACCATTATTGCCATGAAAGTATTATTTTTGGTAGTAATGAAAAGAACAATGTTTTAAAAAAATAAGTTCCAAGTAGTTAAGGATTTACTTTTACTACACAATGCAGTTTTTCCTTTTGTTTCTTGCTAGTGCCGAAAGCATTTGAAGAGTCGGAGATTAGTCAGTGCAAAACAGCTTGGTGTGGATAGAATTGTAGATTTTCAGTTTGGAAGTGATGAAGCTGCTTATCACTTAATCATTGAGCTGTATGATAGGGTAAGTTAAATTTGAGGGATGGGATAATGGATTAGAATCATTGTATTTGCCTTTTATTCACTGTTACATTTGAAATGTTCATGATGTTCAACACAGTATTTCCACTGATGTTGAGTGCCCTATTAACCCTTCGACCTTGTCAACACTTGACATTGTCTACCTCTTAATTCAGCACAGCTCTTTTTGCTTGTTTGTTTTGGGGTTTTTGTTGTTTGTTTGTTCTTGGACAGTCTTGCTGTGTAGTGTAGGCTGGCCTTGAATGTACAACAATCCAGCCCCCAGCTCTGCTGAGTACAGGCATGCACCACCATACCCAGCTTCGTTTTTATTTCTTTATTTATTTTTGCAGAACCAAGGTTTGAACTCAAGCCCTTGGGCCCCAGCTTCTTTGTTTTGAGAAAGGTTCTTGCTGTGAAGCCCAGGCTGGACTTTAAGTCATGATCCTCCTGTTTTAGCCACCTGAGTGCTGAAATTACAAATGTGAGCTACTGCTCCTAGCTCTAACAGAGCTCTTGAACCGGGGATTGAACTCAGGCCCTTGTGCTTGCTAGGGAAGTGCTTATTCTACTGAGCCATCTCCGCAGCTCCTCTAACAGAGTTCTTTATGGGGATGTTTGATAATGGTTATAAAATTTTTAAAAAGATAAAAGAGTACATATCAAAAATGCATATCCTATAATCAACAGAGTTCTTTATGTGGGTATTTGATAGTGATTATATAGTTTTTAAAAAATGATAGGGGGCTGGGCAGATGGCTCGATGGAATAAGTGCTTCCCTGGCAAGCACAAGGGCCTGAGTTCAATCCCTGGTTCCACCAAAATAAATAAATAAGTAAATAAATAGAGTACCTATCAAAAAAATTACAGTGGAAGCTGGGCAATGTGGCATATGTCTGTAGTCCCAGCATTTGGGAGGCTGAGGCAGAAGGATTGCCCTGAGTTAGAAGCCAGCCTGGACTACATAGAGAGACCCTTGTCTCAAACAGTAACGGGGCCAGGGAGATGGCTCAGTGGAATAAGCGATTGCCTGGCAAGTGCATGGGCCTGAGTTCAATCCCTGATTCCACAAAAAAAAGAAAGAAAGAAGAAAAAAAACAAAACAGTAACAGCAGACACAGGGAGTTCGATCCCTGGTGTGTCATGCTTGCCCCACCCCCAGGGCGTGATGAGACAGTGACTAAGACTGGCTGACTAAGACTGGCCGTGGTGGTGCACACTTGTAATCCCAGCTAATCCCAGCGCTTGGGAGGCTGAAAACAGAATCACTACGAGTCCGATCCTTGTAGTGAAAACCTGTAGGCACACACGTACATGCATACACACAAAACCCCCAAAATAACAGAAACGTTAGAATATCAAAAAATATATATCCTATAACCATCATAAAATTTCCATTGATGTATAAAAATTTCTCCCTTAGAATAATTTGTGTAATCTTCTCTCTTAAAAAAATCTAAAGCTGGGGGGCCGGGGAGATGGCTCAGTGGAATAAGTGCTTCCCTAGCAAGCTCAAGGGCCTGACCTCAATCCCCGGTTCCACCAAAAAAAACAAAACCGAAAGCTGGGCATGGTATGGTGGTGCATGCCTCTAATCCCAGCACTCAAGAGTCTGAGGCCGGAGGATGGCCATGATTTCAAGGCCAACCTCAACTGCGTAGCAAGATCCTGTGTGGGGACACGCACACACATATATATGTGCTGGATTTCAGGTGTGCTAGATTTACACCATGCCGTGAAGTTAGGTCTTTAATTCTAAATGTTTAGCAAATATTTTTTTTTTCCTCCTACATAAGCTGTCTGCTTTCACAGTTTTTTCTATCCCACTTTTTTTTTAGTAATATATGAAGGAGGGATGGAAGACTTTTTTGTGGTGGGGGGGTACTACTTTTTAAATACTTTTTTTTTTTTGTCCTTTGGTAAGGGGAGTTGAACTCGAGCACTACCTTGATCTTGCCAGTTAGTGTTCTGTTTTTGTTTTGTTTTGAGACGGGGTGTCCCTATGTAGCCCAGGCTGACAAACTCACAGCAGTCCTCCCTAGTGCTGGGATTTCAGGTGTGTGCCACCATGCCTGGCCAGAACTGTTGATACTGGCTGCTGAAGTTCCAATTTTTGTGAGGCTGAGGCAGGCTGATTGAGTTATTACACAGGTTTGAGTCCAGCTGCAGCGACATAGTAAGACCCTATATCCCTCCCGCCTCCCACCCCCCAAAAAAGAAAAAAAGAGAGAGCTTGGTTGCAGGTGAAAGTATAATTCTTCGCTTGGCTTCTGGAAGGTATTTGTTGTGCTTTCCTTAATGAGCCAGTGTTTGCAGCCTGCCTCATGCAAATCTGGGCAAGCTCAGGTGGTGATCACCAAGGTGTTAATAGATTGCTGTCCTTTATTACCTGAGCGTAACGTCTGTTGTACATCAGGCAGTAAGCTTACAGTTGATCTGAATTGCTTCACTGTTTGAATCTTGGAGTCTTTAGGATTTGATTGTGCTAGTTCACAAGCTAGGCCAGGCAGTTACAAGGAGCACTTGATGTGACTCTGGTGCTTTTTGTTTTATAACTTCATTTTTATCACCTTAACTAGATTTTTTTTCCCTTTTGAGACAGTCTCAGTATGTTGCCCCAGCTGGCCTCGAACTCTTTGCTCAGCCTCCCAAGTAGTCAGGATTGCAGAGATATGCCCCCACACCGAGCCTTTTTCATTTTTTCAAAGCTTGAGAATTGATTTAGGAAAGCCTTAAATTGTATTTTACTCTGTTGCAGGGGAACATTGTTCTTACAGATTATGAGTACTTAATTTTAAATATCCTAAGGTTTCGAACCGATGAGGCAGATGATGTTAAATTTGCTGTTCGTGAACATTATCCAGTGGATCATGCTAGAGCTGCTGAGCCTTCACTTACTTTGGAAAGGTAACATCTTTTCTCTATGAACTCAGTTCTGACTGTTCTAAAATGTAAGATTGGTCATAGTTCAGAATATGGAAAACTCATAAATATTTTAATTGCATAACAAATTTAGATTGCTTGAAGTAAGTAAATGTGCATGTAAGCAATTAAACCTTTTTGGGAGGAGGAGATGAGGGTGGGTAGTTGGTTGGTTTGTTTTTGATTTATTTAGAGACAAGGTCTTGCAGTATTAGTTCACCCTGGCCTTGAACTCACTTTGTAGCCCAGGCTGGCCTCAAACTCATGGCCATCCTCCTGCCTCAGCCTCCTGAGTGCTGGGATCATAGGCTGCACCAAACTAAATTTTGGGTTACTTCAGATATTTATGATTTTTGTGGTAAAGTAAAAGACATCTTAGCTGTTCTCTGAGAAGACACTATGTTGGACAGAGTGGAACAGCAGATAGAAATTGTGTTTTACTTGAGAAACGGTAGATTAAGGTGACAGTTAAGCCTCTGCTAACTATTAGTCTACAATACAAGTCTTCAGAGTTGAATGTGCATCAGAATTACTGGAAGGGCTTATTAAACTTGATTGGTTGTGGGGGCTGGAGAGATGGCTCAGTGGTCTAAAGCACCTACTTGAAGCAAGCTTGGCAAAGCACAGGGACTGCTGTTCGATCCCCAGCACCACATGCCAGCCAGACCCGCCCCCTGGTGGGCTGAGCTGGCCACACACACACACAATAAATAAATGTAATAAATAAAAATAAATAAATATTAAAAAAAAAAAAACTTGATTGGTTGTGTTTGCTAATATGGTTGGTCTGTTATAGGGCCTGGGAGTTTGCGTTTCTCACAAGTAGTCTGGTAGTGCTGATGCACTTGTGAGGACCACACTAACATAGGATTAAGGGTTCTGTGCTGGCACAGGCCTATAATCCCAGTGGGATCACAGAGTCAAGCACACCCTTGCCAACTTAACTTAGACCCTGCCTCAAAAAGGTGGAGAGGGGGACTGGTGAGATGGCTCAGTGGTCTAAAGCACCTACTTAGAACAAGCTTAGCAAAGCACAGGGACCCCGGTTCAATCCCCCAGCACCACATGCCAGCCAGCCCCGCCCCCTGGTGGGCTGAGCTGGCCACACACACACACACACACACAAATAAAAATAAATTTAAAAAAAAAAGGTGGAGAGGAAAGTGAGGATGTAGCCCAGTGTTCAGGCCTTGAGTTCAATCCCTGGTAGAAGGGAAGATGAGAAAAGTTTTTATTAAATGATTAACTGGTAAAGCCGTTTCAGGTGTTATTCAGATGTTACAATGTGGCACAATTCACAGATGCCATTCAACTTTCATAGAAAAAAGTTTCATATCATATATGAGCACACTGATACTAAGTGATTGTGATTTAATTGAAAAAATACTGACTTAGAAAATCTGGATTCAAATCCCAAGGTCCTGTTCAAAAACCTACTAATTCTGAAAAAAATCACGTTTATGACCCATTTTTTTCACCTACAAATAGAGCTCATTTGTGTTATATTTTAGAGTAATTGTAAAGGTCAGGTGACATTGATGCAGATGAAGGTAGTATGAATGTGAACACTGGTGTGAGGTTTATTAAATATAAGGCAGTAAGAGGTGTGCCAATTTTTTTTCACAGATTGTCTGAAGTAATAGCCAGTGCACCTAAGGGGGAATTACTGAAGAGAGTTCTTAACCCATTATTTCGTGAGTAATCCTAAATATAAGTGATGAGATGTTTGCAAGATAATTTTTTTTAAATGTATCTATTATTTTGATTGAAAATTTGAACAAGTTTTGTTTTTGTTTTTTTTTTAAGTATTTAGTATAGGGTCTGTAGGGTCTCACTACACAGATTGAACTCTATGATCCACCTGTTTTCAGCCTTCCAAGTACTGGGATAACGGCATCACCATGCCCAGTCTCAATTGCTGTCTCAGTGTGCCCTGGGGTGGGGCCCAGCAGACACGTGGGGCCTGCCTAAGCAGGCGCTTTAGGCCACTAAGCTGTCTGGCAGGCCCGGAGCAAGTATTTTTAAAAGACCTCTTACATAAGAATTTGTTTTCACAAAGCATTTATAAATGGGGAGGGGAGGAGAAGCTGAAAGGCTAGGGGAATGGGGGAGAAAAGTCGTATCATGTTAAAAAATAGGAAAGAACTGTGGGCTTAGCTGTGTTAGTGCATAGCTTACAACCTGTTTCTCTTTAGTTTTTCTTGATTCTCTAAGAAATATTTGGTATTTCTGTGTACATGTCTTGCCTATCTTACATTAGATTTATCCTTAAGTGATACTTTTTGATATTCTTGGTAGTATTATATTTCCAATTCTCAATTATGTGTTGCTTTCATATAGGGATAAAGTTGGTTTTTATATATTGATCTTGCAGTATGTATTCTTACTAAACTCAATTCTGTCAGGAATAGTGCCTTTTAAAAAAATCCGTTGGATTTTCTACAGGGATGATGTCTTCTGGTAATAAAGAGATTTCTACTTATTTCTTTCTTAAAAAAAAAGGAAGCAAAAGTGTGTTGTTTTGTTTTGGCTTTGTACTAAGGATTAAACCCAGGGCTCCTGGTGGTAGGCCTGCCATTGAGTGACATTGTCAACCCTAAGAAATTATACCATATAAAGTTTGAATTTTTTTGTATCAGATTCTATTTAAAAGTAGTGCAGAGTATGTTATTAGTACTTTTGTGTTGGCTGTAGTATTCTGAGAAATCTAATTTTTTCCACATCCCTCCCAGCCCTTCTAGCTCTATTCTTTTTGATAATTCTCATTTCTACTGGATTGAGGTGGTATTTTAGTGTGAATTTGATTGATATTTCCCCGATAATTAGTAGGGATGAGCTTCCCCCTCCCCCAACCGGGGATTGAACTCAGGCCCTTGCGCTTGCCAGGGAAGTGCTTGTTCTACTGAGCCATCTCCCCGGCCACAAGGATGAGCATTTTTCATTTATTATTTATTTATTTTTTATGGCTCATCTTTTTTTTTTTTTCCAAAGTTTTATTGATAAACAGCAATGAGACAGTTTCAAATCAAATCGGAAGTACAGTTTCAACAAATAATACACTGCATATATTCTTTTTAGTGGTTAATTGCTGTACAAGATGCGGCCTTGTGATCATATTTACAAACACCATTAGAACAAATCATTCTATTCATTAAGAGAATGCAACTATATATCCATCCCAACCACTTTGAATACACAGATACAAAATGGACATTCATAGGTATACCCCATTTTTTCTAAGTTCCGTTATTGAATATTATAGGTGTGTAAACTCAGCAAAATATTCTAAAAGAGTTCAGTAGCCCATAATAGCATTGGGTCTTCTGTTTAACTGGCAATGTCAGAAATTATTGACCTGAGTCCCCCACAGCTCAACTTAACAGCATGGCTTTATTTCCTATATTTCGTCTTCATACTTTTCTACTGGATGGTTAAGACCAAGGTAAAGCAGGACCTATGCAACAAGAGTTGTAGCTTTTTGGTCTGAGAACGTCAGTGAAATGCCCTCAGGGTTTGTCCTGAGATCCTGTACCTCAGATTGTAGAACCTTTGTCAGTGCAGCCATGTGGATGAGTCACGGCCATTGCTTGGCCAATGTGAAGGATGAGCATTTTTTAAAACCTATACTTCTTGGCTATTTGTGTTCTTTTGAGAAATGTTTATTAAAACCTTTTGCTCGGGGCTGGTGAGATGGCTCAGTGGTCTAAAGCACCTACTTAGAACAAGTTTAGCAGAGCACAGGGACCGCGGTTCAATCCCCCAGCACCACATGCCAGCCAGCCCCGCCCCCTGGTGGGCTGAGCTGGCCCCCCCCCACATAAATAAATAAAATTAAAAAAATAAAAATAAAATAAAACCTTTTGCTCAATTAAAAATTTTTTTTTAATCTTTTATTTGGTATAGGGTCTTGCTGCACAGCTTGGACTTATAGTGATCCTCCTGTCTTAGTCTCCCCAGCACTGGGATTACAGGCATGCACCACCGCACCCAGGGCGGCTTGGTGCAGGGCAGCAGGGTGTGCCGTACTGGGGATCAAACCTGGATCTTTGGGCTTGCTGGGCAGGTGCTTAGCCTGCTGAGCTATCTCCTTGGCCTCCTCTTGCTCAATATATATATGTTTTTAAATGTATTTGGTTGTTGCGGGGTCCTGCACAGCTTAAACTTGTGATGATCCTCCTGCTTTCAGCCTCTCCAGCACTGGGATTACAGGCGTGCGTCACTGTGCCCAGACTCTGGCCTATTCAGCCTGCCCTGGGGACGGCGCTGGCCCAGCATGAGGTGCTGGCTCTTTAGTCTGCTGAACTATCTCACTGGCCCCTCTTGCTCAGTTTTTAATAACACTAGTCACTACTAAACAAACCTTATATTCTAGGAATAAAAATAAATCCCCCCATATCTTGCTTTCTTTCTTTTTTTTTTGTGTGTGTGTGTGATGTGGGGCTTGAACCACATGAAAATATATTTCTATATATATACACAAATATATTGAACTATGTGAAAAAAATGTATATAGGTACTTGCTGTACTTCTTAGTAAACCACTATATATGTTTCTGTATTTTGAGACAAGGTCTCAGTTGCTACGTTGGCTGCATAGGCTAGGATTAAACTTACTGTCTTCCTGCCTTAGGCTCCCAGAGTGCTAGAATTATAGTCATGAGCAGCCATGCCTTGCTAGTCTTTTTTATGAATGTAGTATGCTATTAAAGTCATATAATAGGGGCTGGGGAGAGGGCTCAGTGGAATAAGAACTTCCCTGGCAAGCGCAAGGGCCTGAGTTCAATCCCCGGTTCCACCAAAAAAAATTTAAATAAATAAATTCCTATAGTGTGCCCTGATCTCAAATGTCTGTAACTACTTCAGTTATTATTTCTAATAATTCAGAATAAATAAGCTTGGGGCTGGAGAGATGGCTCAGTGGT